TTGGTTCTGCTTGTTTTGTGGGAGTAGGGATGAAACCCAGGGTCTTACGCATGCACACAGGTGCTCTATGAAGTGAGCCACACTCAGCTCTAATACTAAAGTCAGTTCCAGGGACAGACAAATTTATAGAACCTTCCTACAAATGAGTAACCCTTCATCCTGGTCCATTCTAATTCTATTTCTGGCTCCTTTCACTTCTCCAGAAGAAATGTTCAGTGCATCAGCAGATACCATTTTCAAATTCTATTCTTAAAGACAGCAAGCTGCTTTAACCTCAGCTTACTAATCCAGCTCTAGAGCCTCTATGGAATCATCAGAGGCATGTCTAACTCTGAATTTCATAGAACAGACAAAAGTTTTCCTGGACACAATAGGAAAATCACTGAGGTCCAGACTTAAGGGGACTAACCTAATCATCATAAGAGAATATCTCCACATCTTGGTATGTATGTGGAGGCCACAGCTTGAGACCTAGAATCAGAGGGAGGACAGCTGTTTTTCTAAGATGCTCTGTGTGCTGTATGACCTAACTTAGTTGTCTAATTGAGAATTATAGTTATATATCACCTGAGGGAGCACGTAATGTTCAGCAGAAACTCTGGGCCTGGGAAGCTGGAGAATAGACTAAATGTACAAGAAATTTATATTGCTGTAAACTATTCCATCACTGGGATGTTCTGCTGATTTATCCACTAATTGCTGCACACTTGAAAATGTCACTCAATATTAATAAAAGAATACAGATGCTCCAAGGATGTGGACACATTCAAAAATATTAAGACAAGAAAAAGAGCCAGGCACCCATAATTCTTGGCCTGAGACTGAGGTTAGAGTGAGGACTGATGGCAGCAGTACAGGAGGGATTTGAAAGGTGAAAGAAATGTTTGATACCTTCAGAGAAATATCAATTTTATGATGGCACACATTTACTAAAACCCACCGAACAAACAGTATGGTGAAATTTTATTTGTACTGAAATGTGATTTTATCTGTATGTTAATAAATAAAGTTGCCTGGGGGTCAGAGCTAAAAGCAAGCCTTAGCAGAAGCTGGGCAGTGGTGGTGCATGCCTTTAATCCCAGCTCTTGGGAGGCAGAGCTAGGCGGATCTCTGTGTGTTCAAGGATACAGCCAGGACGGAGACACACGCCTTTAATCTCAATACCAACCATAGAAGACCTGGAGATATGTACAGACAGGCAGTGACGAGGCGGTCATGTAGTTGGGTTTACAACCAATGAGAAGGCAGAACAGAAACACTATAAAAAGACAGACACACAGGAAGTAGGTCTCTTTCAGAGAGGTAGGGCAACAGCGACAGTGAAGGGTAAGGTTTTTAGCTCTTAGCTATTGCTCTGACCTCTTGGCTTTCATCTCTGTATTGGCTCTGTGTTTCTTATTTAATAAGACAGTTGGTTACATCTTCAAAACAGTGAACTGACAATGGATGAATTTTAAGATGCAATTATATACCATATGTTCCTGCCAATGACAGAGCACATCTCCAGCGGTGGGTAGCTGAGATACAGAGAAGTTCAGGAAGCTATATATACGTCAGTGACATGGACTTGAAGTTCATAGAATGGAAATATATAACAAGTGATTTCTCAGATCATATCTCTGTCATTAAATGACATGCGAGTGCCTTTAAATCACACTTAGATTAAGCTGTGTGTGCATGTACATACACACCCACACACAAATGAAACCAAACCTACTTCACACATCAAAATCCAAAGTTCAGTAGTAGTTAACTGAAACCAGAATGGCTAAGGAGGAATTAAAGATCAGGTAATAAAACAGAAAAGATCAAAGACAAATATGAAAACATCATTATAAACCCATTACTTCATATGCTAACCAAAAAAATATATATATAAAGAAGGAAGCAGGAACGGAAGCTTGCAGGCTGCAAAGGTGATAGGAAATTCCTTCTTGGAAAGTGGCTCAGGGCCCAGAGCAATTAAACACCGCTCAGCTCTTGAAAACTGTTAGTATGGACTTAAACTCACTTGACAGCAAAGACTGTCTAAACACTGACTGTCTAAAGCCAGACTAAACACCATTAGGCTATTTACATGGAGTGAATTTTGAAAATGTACTGCTGATTCACAGATATCTGCCTAAGCAATACCAATATTTTCAAATAAAAGATTGTTGGTCTATATCACACTGTAGAAATGCAGCATCCTCTAAAGCTGTAACAGAGACTGCTTTGGCTGCATAAGGAACTGGGGTGTAGATTATGTATTCATTCTCAGAGGGTCTACAACACACACATACACACACACACACACACACACACACACACAGGCATATGTGTACCACATGTACACATACATGCACAAACATACACGTGTGCACTCACATGTACACGTTAATATTTCTTTGTGTTTGTGTTTCTGTGTGTGGGGTACACATATGTTCATGTGTGTACACATGTATGAAGGCCAGAGATCAAAGTCAGATTTCTTTGTCATTTTTTTTTTCATCTCACTTTTAAAGACCGAGTACCTCACTGAATTTGTAGTTCACCGGTTGGGTTAGCCTGGCTTGCCAGTAAGCCTCAAGGATTCCACTGTCTCTACCTGTTTGCGGGTGTGTACCACAGCATCTAGCTTTTTACGTAGGTGCTGGAGACCATAACTCGGGTCCTCATGCTGGCATGGCACATACATTATCAACGAGTCAATTTGCCAATTCTTTAAAAAGTAGATGAACATTGGATTAGCAAATTTCATAGTGAAAACTAAGAGGGAAGATGGGGATAAAAACAGAGGTAATGAATAGAGACACGGTCATACAGGGACACAGAATGAACATGTCAGACTTAATATTGTCCTTTAAAGAGTCATGCTTTGCTCCTAAATACCCAAGAATGTTGGTGTCAGGTGAGAGAGGTAAGGCACATTTGGGATTAGAATCATGACTTAGTGTGTCAGTTATGACTGCAACCACATGCAGTATTTGATCAAGTCTGCTTATTCCTTGTGGCTCCTAAGGCAGATTCAGTCTCCATCACGATGGACAAGGTCTAACACTTCAGCAACTGCAAACAAAGTCTCTGCTCTGCTCGGTCAGCACTGTCACTTCCAGGAAATAGATCAGATTGGAAAAAAAGACCAACAGAGCTGGAGTCTGACAGAAAAGAGGAAATTTAAATAATAAAACATTAATATAGCTGATACTAAGAAGTATACACACACTTATATATGCATGCACTGAATATATATATGCTTGCATATAAACACACACATACGTATACACTGTATGATTCATATTGCACATATAAGTTATACAGTTTTATATGTTATACAATATATAAGCAGATACTTATCAGATTTCATATATGTATCAGACACTATGTTATATGTTATCCAACAAATGTTTTTATATTGGAGGTTGAGATTTTGAGATGCAGTTCAGACAAAACCAAAGAAAACAAGGGCACTCACAAAAACCTAGCATCCATATTCCTTGAAAAATGAACATGTAATTTTGCAAAAGAAAAATTACTAAATTGACAGTAAGAAAACATTTCAGCATGCTCTAGTTCAACACATTCTTTACAATTATCAGCAAAACAGGTTGGTAACTCAAAGAATTTTCAAGTTACAAACAATGTAATTACCAACTCTGGATTAGCAAAGCATATGAGGTTTTCTGAAAGTCCTCATCTCATTGGCATACTAAACAAATATGTGCAAATTTTGAAATAATGACCATAAAACTTCAATAAAGATAAAAATCATCTAAAATTCCCATACACACATGACTTTACTTATTCATATCACTAGCGATCAGAGGCCCAACTTATCAAGAATTGTATTTCTCCACATAATAGAAGACAGGAAAACAATGAATAGACTGCAAGCATCTCTTTGTCTTTCTTCATCCCATCAGCATATCTGGTCACCAATAGGCTTATTCCAAAGTCAACACCAACCCCACACATCTGCTCAAAGGAGCTTTACTCTTTCCTACAGCTGACTATGGTAAGCCGGCATGTATTAGAACATTTTGTTTCCTAAGAGCAACAGGAAAAACTGGATAAAATGCAAACAAATAATGTTTATTAGATATACTGACAGCTTCTGAGGCACACAAGACATGAGAGGCCAGGATCTCAGCTAGGAGGAGAGCTCAAGAACCTGCAAAATCTTGATTATCTATGTGTAAGAATGTGAATTAAACTACAGTGTATCTACAGCAGTCACAGAAGCCCCCAGGATGAAGCCACAGCACAGAGACTGAAAGGCTAAAACTAGACATGAGCTATGAAAGCAGCTGTGTCCTTGAGAAACTTGGTAGACAGAGTGAGGCTGGCATCCTGTACTTAGGAATGGTTGAGCAGAAGAGAACTATGAAGTTCAATAGAGCTTCTAGCAGACCTGTAGCTCTGTGAAGCAAAACTGGAATTCCCAATTTTCCAGATAACAGGTTCCTGACTATGACCCCAAGACCTCAGTATCACATCTATGCGTCTACTCAGGAGCTACAACTATGTGTGAGAAAGAAGCTAAGGGATAGAGCCAGACCTATAAAATTTTAAAACACAGATTTGAGCAGGATCAACTGATAACCAAATTGTAGTAATGTGTAATCTTTCACTGTCTGCTCATGCACAAAGCTCATCCTCTGGAAAGAAAATTGCTCAACCCGGAACCTTTCACAATTTTCATTTTGCAAAGGTAATCATGCCATCAAAAAAGTAACTGTGCAGTCTATGGATGTGGATGAACAGGAAGCAGGTCATGGAGATAAACCCACAGTTATCACAGATACAATGGTTGTCAGTCAAGTGTATCAAGACAACTGACTGATTGATAAGCTCAGAAAGACAGATGACAAATTGAAGCATTTCACTACAGAACCAAAAAAAAAAAAATCTGAGAACAAAATGGACAATTTGGAATTGACACATTATCTAAAAATGGAAAGATGCTTACTGCAAAATAACCAAGGCAAATAGAGAGAGAGAGAGAGAGAGAGAGAGAGAGAGAGAGAGAGAGAGAGAGAGAGAGAGAAGATTGCTATGAGTTTTCAAAAAAAAAGTGGACACCATAATTAGAAGCTCTACAGACTTTTAAGGAGGAAAATTACAAAGACCTGGATATATCATAGCAAAATATCTGAAAACCAAATACCAAAAGTGCAAACAGAAAAAAGATGGCACTGACTTTGAGGAGAAAACCAGTAAAAGGAGCACTGATGTGAACTATACAGAAGCTGTAACACGACAATGTCCTTGAAGTGCCAGAAGAAACACCTGGCAACTTAAAACTCTATGCTGAATGAAAATGTCCTTCAAAGGGGAAAGTTTAAAGAGAATGATTTCAAATTCAACAAATGCAGAAAGAAGTGCTGATGAACACCTGCACCAATGAATTAATTAAGGGGAGTTCTAGAACAGGAGCAGGTAAAAGAGGGACTCCAAAGATGAGAGAGTGGAAAGGGGAAAGTCTGTGTTCACACAAAGGAGATTTGCCCTTTCTCTGTCCACTACCCTTTCACTTTCACTAAGTGATGTGTAGACTTTGGGTGGTTTGTAGGCTTCTCACTGTCCTTGGAACTATTGCTGAACTACAACTGCAAACATTGTCCAGAAAGAGTGAAGCTCAAGCAATGGCAACTCTAACTAGCATGTGTAATGTAGAATATCTACTTTACAAACACTTTTTTTTTTTTACATAAGTGAATTCTGTGTTAAGTCAGGACATGCTCACAATTGCTGTTGGGTGGGTGACAACCTGAAACATTCTATCTTTTAAATGCAGTAATACCCATCCTTAAAATCCCACACTATGCTAGCCTCTTCCTTGAGTCTTGCCTTATTGATATGGTTTGCATCTTAACCATCTCCTGTGATGAAATGTTATTAACATCTATTTGTTCTATTTTTTAATGAAAAGGAAAAGTTGGGTTCATTTTACAATTTTCATAATATTTGTTTTTTGTTGATATTCACTCCTCACTTTACTTCTCTTTCTTAACACCCTTCTACTGCTCCCTTTCTTTCCTCAGTAGGGTTCTCTTACATTGGATTGACACACACTTTATTATCTTCTTTAATCATAATTCTCACATTTATCTCTGCAGCCTCCTTTCCAACTTCATAACTATACACATGTACACATATATAAAAATAAAATCTAGGAACTGTTTAAAAGAAATTCATATTTTCCTTTATGAGTCATTGCTTAAAACAATAGTTTGTTTTGGTTCCATACACTTTCCCAGAAATATGATTTTATTTTTCTTTACAACTGAATAAAATTTCATTTTGTATGTGCCATATTTTCTTTATCCATTCATCTGTTGATGGACATTAAGACAGGTTGTATCTCAACTACTGTGAATAGCAGAGAAGTGAACATGGATGTGAAAATATCTCTGAGTATGTTGATATAGAGTCTTTTTATTTTTATGTATATGAGAAACTTACTGACATGTATTATATGGACTTCTTGGATGCCTAGAGCCTGTAGAGACCAGAAGGTGCATTATCTCCTGAAACTGGAATTATAGATTATTGTTGGATTCCATGTTGGTGCTGGGACTAGAACTCAGGTCCTGTGGAAGATTAGCCAGTTCTCTTACCTGCTCATCCATATCTCCAGCTCAGACTTAGAATATTTTCATTGTATGATCAGAAACAGCATGGTTTGGTCATCTCATAGCTCTATCTTTAGTTTTTGCCATTTCCACAGTAGCAGAACCACTCCCATGCATGTGTTCTTCTTTCTATACATCCTCACCAGCATACCTTGCAGTTGTTTTCTTGTTTTGTGTTTTTCTGAAAGGTGAGATGGAGTTAAATATACTTTTGATTTGTATTCCTGTGATGGTTAAGGATACCAGAATTTTTTAAAAAAAAACTATTGATATATAATAAAAATTTATTTAAGTATTGAATGGCTCTTACTTCCTTATTGGAGGAAAGAAATTTCCCAAGACTTGCACAGAAGAGCTTCCTCAGTCTTCAGGGGCATCTGTCACTGTTTTCCTGGTCCTCTTTGTCTAAGCCATGCACTTTTTCTCATAGGGTCGGTTCCAACTGCTGGTTACTGACCTAGAGTCTTTCCTCCTTGGGTTAATGCTTCCTTCTTCTCTGGAAGGCTCAGATTTGGTTTTTAGAGATAAAATGTTTCAGTTTCCTCAGCAAATCAGTTTTCTACTTACTTTCCCCTAAAGAAATTAGATTTGACTACTCCCTTTCCAAACCTATTATTGGTAAGCACTGGGTGTGGTTAAAGGGATGGTGAGAGATGCTGCAGCTGAAGAAGTGCCCACAGAGTTCTAGCTCCCTGATGATGAACTTCCCTTAGGTTTCCAACCCTTAGGCCATAAAGATCAAAAGAACCATGAAAGAAGGAACTTTTTTCACTTGATTTGTTCTGGCAGCCTCCTTGGAAGTACACGTATCTCTGCAGTAGTCTTTGATATTGACTGATAACAAGATTTGTACCAAGAAAGTTGATATTTGCAAAAAGATTGAGTTCTACCATGTTTTCATTTAACTGTTCTTTTCATTGTCCAGACATTACTAGATAGTGGGAAATTATGTTGGAGTAATACAAAATAAGTCCGGCTGTAGCTCAGAATACAACTTTTGTTCCTAATATGGAACAAGATGTATCAATTACACATCTTTTGGTATACCAATTTTTTTCTCTGATAAAACAAAATCTCAAGTGAAGTAGATTTTACCTTAGGAGATATCACATCTCTGTTTCCAACTAATCTGTCTCAGGGTTCTGACCTCTAGCCTGCAGGAAACTTCACAAAATTGGAAGCCTCATACCATGGAACTGGTACTGAATGGCCTGGTCTTGCTAATGTGAGGTTGAATGCACATCAGAAGACTTACAAGCACTTTAAAGGTAACAAGATTAGTTGAAGATCCCATAAAAATACAGGTACATGATACCATGATGATATTTATAGGAAGTGAGAATATAATGCTTATTCAAAATCATAGTAAGAAATAGGTGAACGTAATTTTCCTCTTTTGGATTCTGAAGGCAAGACATATGTGAGGACATTGTCCTCAGTTGCCTAGGTGACAGGTTAACATTCTGAGGGCCTTTGAAGCTGATTCAGATTATAGTGGATACTGTCTTGCCATGTAGACTTAAGAATCTAGTTAGAGTCCAAGGAGGGGACAGAAGGTAGGGAGAGGGGATGGGGAAAGAGGGAGATATTCAAGTTGAATGAGTGTAGAATGAATTCTAATTGGTCTTAATAATAAAAACCTGGAGTCAGATATCAAGGGTAAAAGCTGAAATTTCAGAGAAGCAGAGTAGCCAGTCACTAGAAAGAGTTCTTACCTCTACCGAATCCTCAGCCTGAAAGAGAGTTGAACTCTTGTCTCCTCCCACATTATAGTCCTCTCTCTGCCCCGCCATATCACTTCCTGTCTCCACCTCCCTAGTGCTGAGATTAGAGGCATAAGATCCCAAGTTCTGGGATTAAAGGTGTGTGCCACCACGGCCTGACTCTGTTTCTCTTTTAGACAGGATCAATCTTGTGTAGCCCAGGGTGGCCTTGAATTCACAGAGATCTATCTGCCTCTGCCCCCCAAGTGCTGGGATTAAAGATGTGTGCCACCACTGTCTGGCCTCTATGGCTAACTAGTGGTTTAGCTCCACACTCTGTCTTCAAGCAAGCTTTATTTGTTAGATCACAAACAAAACATCACCATAAATGAGTAGGGAGGTGGGGAGGATCTGAATCTAGGAGGAGTTGACAGAGGGGAAAACATCATTGAAATAAATTGTATATAAATATTTAATTGAGCCAAGTGGTGGTCATGCCCTCCTTTAATCCCAGCACTCAGGAGGCAGAGCCAGGTGGATCTCTGTGAGTATATATATATATATATATATATATATATATATATATATATATATATAAACATTTGGAAGAAATATAAAATAAGAAATAACTGGCAAATAAGAATACTGGATCAAGTCAGTAGACACAACAAGGTGTAGCATCTCAGGCCCATGAAAAAAGAGAATGCAGCCTTCTAGGAATGTCATTCAGACCAATTAATAATTAATAAATTATAATTAACAAATGGGTTCTGATGGAGAGTATTTACTTACTACTGATTGGTATTAGTATTAGTTAGTATTAACTGATTAATATCTGATTACAGATACTAAATTCTATCCTGAAATGGGTGCTTTCCCATGTATTAAACAATAATTTTGGCTATGCAATATCATTCCATCAATAAGAGAAAGTCACAAACCGAAGAGACTTTACATTTTCAAGGGGACTGCAGGAGCAGATGCTCAGGTACCCTGATACTTAGTTAGTTTTCACCTCCTTTTCACTGCTTCCTCTGGCCCTCAGAAAAACCCCAGAGACAGGCCTGCAATAAAAAAAAAAGACTTTAGTACATAAAGAGTTCTATATGACAGAAGGCAGTGAGGAGAACTCTTTCTGTCTCCCTTGCAGGTCCAATTAGCATGGATGGAAATATGACTAGAGATATGAATCTATACCCATTCCAAAACTTTCCACAAATGTTCGGTTTGGGATCCCAATAAAAATGGAGTAAAGATGATTTACAGATTAATTATTAAGAGTTCAGAGAGAAAATTACCTTGCTCACACTTAGAGAGTCATAACAAAGTGGGAGAGATTTATTGTGTTATTGATTACCATGGGATATTCAGGTGTTCCCAAAGGTTGAGTAGACAGAATGACCCTTCCTGTGAATGCAATCCAGCTTTTTTGCCCTCCTACCTACTCTACTTGCAATGGACCCAACCTAAGCACACACAGAAGAAAGAAAGAAAATTCTTTATAAATCAAGAAGACCCTCTTACATCACTGAGTACCTGCTTCAATCAGTGCCAAGCACCTAAGCCCCTCACTGGACCTTATGGAACATTTGTTTTCAAGGGAACCATCCCAGTCACTTTCCTATAGTATTTGAATCAGTGATATACCTTTAATGTGATTGATATATATATATATATATATATATATATATATATATATATATATGTGTGTGTGTGTGTGTGTGTGTGTGTGTGTGTGTGTGTGTGTGTGTGTGTGTGTGTGTATTCAGTGAGGCTTTTCTTTTCTGGTTTAAAATTTTTATGCAGATCCCACCACCCACAGATTAAGAAAAGCCTTCACACCACAACTTAGAAATGACAAATGTTGCAATAGAGTGACTTGTTTTAATGTGACAGTGTGGCAGTGATGAACTAATCCCCTAACATTCTTTTGATTGTGTCAAATATACCTCTCCTAGATGTACTTGGATAATGTAAATAATGAAATGACCAATGAAAATTTGCCTTCAGAAAGCAATATGTGGCTTGAGTGAAGGATCAATATGGTACCTTTCTGTCAGAACTGAAATTCGTAAGCTTGGAAATGAAGGGGCAAAAATGAGATTACCACTACCTGCTCCACACCTAAGGTAATAAACACCATCCATCGGGTTGTGCTTCTGTCCCATAAACTTGCTCTATAGTGTTTTAAGTTTCTTGGTACCCAGAATGCTATTAATAATGAACATCGGAAGAGTTCCTTGGAGCTGGAAGGTGAACTCACTACCTGGTCATATGGGGCTTCTCATGTCATTAATTCAAGAGATGTAGAAGAGGTTACTGACTGTCCAATTAGACTATGAAAGTGAAACAAGGTCGGTACATGATGAAGTCAGGAAATATTGTGTCTGCAACCCAGGGGAATCCCTTAGAACCTCCAAGAAGCTCAAAATCAAATAAAAATGTCATAGAAGGCCATAGCAATCCAATATAGGTGTGGCGCTGAGCACTGTGGATGCCCTTCAGAAGAAAGATCTGAGTCACCTTAAAAGGTAAAACGCTTCCACGAGTGAAGATTGGAGGTGAAAGCAAAGAAAATCTGGAGCAGGGAGCAGAAGAAGGAAGTTCAGGACACCACCAGTGCCCTTGACATAAGATACAAAGTCAACAGCTAACGCAGGTACAGGGATAGCCTATCCCTTCTTGTTACACACACACACACACACACACACACACACACACACACACACACACGCACACACACACTCACTCACTTTCTTCTTTCTACCCATTATGTTACATAGAATGTGTCTGTTTTACTTTAATGCAACAGTTTTACTTTAATCTTGTTTTTTAATGGTGGGGAATCTTCAACATCAACCTCATTTAATTTGGAACCACCTAAGAGACATACCTCTAGATGTATCTTGAGGGTCATTCAAAGAACTGAGTATGCAAGACCCATTTGGAATGTTGGCGACCCCTTCCCTTGGTCTAGAGTCTTGAACGGGAAGCAAAAAGGTTAAGCTGAGCACAGCTTCCATCTCTGATCGCAGACACAGTGTAACCAAGCGGCTTCACCTCCCGACTACTCTACATTCTTCTCTCTACTCTCAATCCACCAGCCAATGCAAACTCCTGCTTAAGTTACTTTTTATTTTGCCAGGTATTTTATCACAGGGATGAGAAAAAAATAGCTAATATTGTGTTTTAATTATAGAATATCCAGATGGCTGAGGTAAAGAGGGATCTTACCTAAAGAGTTTTTCAGGGAAGTGGATTTTATTAAGCTGAAGCATGAGACTTCCATGGTTTTGTTCAAGATATGTGACTGTGAACAGGCAGCCTTGGTCAGTCATTGACTTCTGCTTCTGAGTTTCACAGGGGTCTCCCCAACTCTGTTCATTTAGGCCAGGGCTGTTATGGGTCTTTCCATCCAGCTTCCTGGGAGGATTAATGAGAAAGGAGACCTGGTGAGGTTAGAGGTGGAGATAAGGAAAAGAGGCGTTCCTCTGCTTTCCCTCTGTCTTCTGTGGCAATCTGGGAGGTTTCAACGGTCCTGTACTCAGCTGTGATGCACCACTTCATGGACCCAGCTCTGGCCACATGGCCTTTGCCCTGCACTCTTGCCCATCCCCCTTCTCCTCCCAGCCGCCTGATCTTGCATGTAGGAAGTTATTACTTGCTTCTTAATTCACTGCCACTGTCTTTTTTAATCAAGAAGAATGTTTTCCTCGCCTGCTGCTCAAATCTTTCCTGACTCATCCTGTCTCTCCTGGCCATCTGAGTGCCTGAATCAACAGTATGCACACAGGTCCTTGCGGCTTTGAGAGTAACCAGAAACTTCTGCTAAGAAAAGGAGGGAAGAGAAGAAAAGGAACCAGAGTGGTTTTGAGAATAGCTCTGCTCACGTCAACTGCATTTCCTTCTCTGTATGTTTTGCTTGCATTTCTCAGAGCGATTTCATCAGAACAAAGACTTTCGCTTATAATGAAATGTTTAAAATCATGGATCTCTGCCACTGATAAACATGCTAAATAGAATTTGATAAAGAATAAAAAATCAGTCCCCTGCCTCAGCAGACATCCCTTTGTTCTAGCCAGAAGGTGGAGAAAACACATCATCAGAATGCAAATTTCCCTCTTTTCCTGTCTCCAATCCCTTCTAATCAACTGGGGCTTGATTCCATGGCCCTGGCTGTCTGCCCCTTGTTTCCAGAGTATTCACACACCCCCAAAAGCCTGACTGAAAAATTCCCCAAACATACTGTGTATCAAAAGACTGAATGCATCCAGAAAGTCTGCAATAAAAATAACCCAAACAAATGACTACCACATCACATGTCCTATTAGCAAAGTACTTGTGTGGGAACAAAATGTTGTTGTTGGTTTTGTTTTCATTTTTTTTTAATACAGTCAAGGCCCCAGTGGGGCATGAATGTGGAATATCATCCCATTTTATAATATATACACCATAATCTTCTTAAAATGAGTTTTCACTTCAAGAAACATAAGGACTTAAATACGAGCAGCCTGTTTTGTGTGCCTGTGTGTTTGGCATCTCATTACACTTCAGACCATTTTGTCTTCTTAGAACAATTGAATATCATTAGTGGAGGCATATTTTGTTGCCAGAACTTGCTTGGTTGTGATTGTGCTCGTTAAAATGTGTCCATTTGCCAGCTGATGGATGGGAATTCTGAAAGGTGCCTGGTGGGTGAGCATTTGAATATCAGAACTTTCATCTCTTTCTTCTAGAAAGAAAAATAGCCTTGCTACCAACCAACACAACACATGAATTGCCCTTGACTTCCCCTCCTTCCTTCTGTCTTCTTTGTGTAACAGTCAGTTTAACTCTGTGAGTTTCTATCAGGCACTCAGAATTCTTACAAGTCCAAGCTTAAGATCTAGACAACACAGAAGGAAATGCAGGCTTCACCCTAGCGTGATTTATGTGGTGACCCTGAACAAATCACCAGCCTCTTGAGGCTTCAAGGTTTTCATTTGTAAAATGAGCTTCTAAATGTTTACTTTTCAGGGCCATTACAAGGAAGATCTCAAACTCATTTGGGGAACATAGTAGAAACCCAGAAGTTAGGAACTGGCCGATATAATACATGACAGAGTTGTACAAGAGCTGATAGAGTGTCGTCTAGCATGCATTCAGTCCCCAGTGTGGCATAAACTGTATTTGGTGCCCCACACCTGCACTGGCAGGAGAATCAGAAGTTCAAGCTCATTTTTGGCTACATATTCAGTTTGAAGTTAGCCTGGGCTATATGAGACCCTTTCTCAAAAGAGACAGACAGAGAGAAAGAGGGAGACCACGAGGGAGGGTGGGAGTAGAGAGGCAATAAACACTGAGGGGGGAGGTCAAAAACAAATACAGTAGGACAGTAGTTAGAATAGTGTTGGCACCAAACATCCTGGAGAATCTAAGGAACTTGGAGGCTATATCTCAGAATAAAAATGGCAGTATACTATAAATCCACAGAAAACATCACACTAAATGGCAAAAAAATGAAGTTGAACTATTACTATTTGCAGATATGTTTCTATACATAAAGACCCTACAAATTACCAGACAACTTCTATAGCTAATAAGAACCACACGAAAGTAGGAGTATACAGAATTACCATATATTCAGAATAAAGACATCTTACCTAATAGAGATTAGACTCATTTGGTCATCACCTCATGAGGTACACATATTTATAGTCTCAGATTGTACAAGGGAAAGAACAAAAGCTTGATGGCATGCTCATTACAGAGATGAGAAACTAAAGATAAAAATGTGCACAATGTTCTGTCAGTACCAGGCTTTATAAGAAAGTGATTGTCTAAATAAGAAAGAAAAACTAAGAGAGAAATGGGGGTTGTGGCTTGTGGAACAAAGGGGTTGGAGAAAGTCCTCTAATATTGAGTGTGTATTTTCTAATTGGCAATGCCCACCTGTTTGTACTCCAAAGCAGCACCTTCCTTTCTCATCTCAGCATGTAAAGACTTTCTCTTTGCTCACAAATCCCTGATAGCAAGCATTATCTATACACCATCAAAAGATCTTCCTGGCTGGTATTTTTGTCAAACTTCAGGTGAATCTGCAATCTTGAGGACATAATTTAAAGGACGTTCTGGCAGCTTTCTGCATGATCAGTGTGACCTAAGTGAAAATATTGAAGAACCTTTGGGATGTCAGGGCTTTCGAATTTCTACTGTACTTGAGTAACTGACAAATTAAACCACTGTCAGTTATTAATACTTTAGGGTAAATTAGCTTATCTTGGATTGCAAAGTAGTAATCATGTGATTCCAGACCATAATTTCATAGAATGAGAAAGCTGAGATCCGTAAAGGGAACATATTTTATAACTAAGTCAGAAACGTGAGACAGGACCGAAGCCCAGCTCTCCTGGGGTTTTGTCAGTCATCAAATTCTGTCCCCAAATCTTTCAAAATGGGCAAGATCATCTCCTGATGACATTTTCAATGAGCCAATTATTATGAGGAAAGGGTGTAAAACCCTCAATAAAAAGCAAGTATCATAATGGAGAAAAATGCAAATAACTTTAAAAGGTTTTATCTGCAATTGGTTTACCCAATTAGCTGTTCCCAAGTATCAGGTCCCATGAAAGATATCATTCCATGGAAAAGAAATTGAGAGGGTAGGGAAACCCCTGTATCGAGTAAATATGAAGTATATGAAGTATGTTGTTCCTTCCACCCCACAGTCTGGCAACCTTGAGTCTCACTGCAAAGGACTTTACAAACAATTGTTATGAAATGCTATTGATAGATATTGACATAGAATTATCTGCCTGTGTCTTTCCTTAGCTCATTTGTGCTTTCAAAGAGGGCTGCTTAATTTCTCTGGAGGATTTAAAGGTTGCTAGGAAATCTGTGCCTCTAACCCATAAAGAAAGGAACAAGTATTCGTCCATTTGAATATAGTATGAAGAAGCACATTTTTGTTATGTATGGAATTGACCGTGTGAAGGTGAAATTTCTAACAGGACAGCAGGCATGTTAGCAAGATCCCTGGAAAACCAGGATCCTTTCTGAGTCACTTCCCACCATGACTTAGTGCACCCATTCTCAACAACTGTTGAATTCAAAGATATTGTAGAGTAATCACAACAATATCTGTGGGACCGTAGGTGACTGAAAGAAACATGCAGATTCTACTTCAAAGGATGTGTCTTTCTAATTGTCAGGATGGATTAGGTTACCAAGTCAGGGAAAAGGATGATGCTAATGATCCAAACCAGAGGGCAGCAAGCCTTGTCCTCAAGCCAATCTGAACACAGCTGTCTGATAAACATTTGCCACCGGGACAAAGGCCACATTTATTTATTTACATATTGCAGATAACTGCCCGGGAGCCAGTAAAACAGGAACAAGAAGTGACAGATATCACATGGCCCACAGTCACAAATACATTTTCTATTGTCCCATACTGCAGAACATGTGCTAATTCATGCTCTTAACCAGCACATCAGGATTTGGACATAGGCACTTACGTTTCTGAAAAGGCTTCTCAGAAGTTTCTACTAGAATTTGAGAAATTTCCCATTGAACTCTCCTTGTGCCAGGCTTCAGGCATGCACTGTGACTGAGTGGAGATGGGGCACATTTGCAGACTGTTGCCCAGAGGTTGGGCTCTAATGGAATTCTGACACAGATAGCTCCCTTTTAACTTTTTGAATCTTATACTTCCACTTCCTGATTTAGTATCACATTTCCTGATGTAGAGTACTGGTACTTTTTCACTTGGCTTTTGCAACCCTCCTTTGAAGCAGCTGGTATTTACTCTTGGCATGGCTCTTACTACTCACATTTTCTCTCTGTGTGTCTCTCTGTCTCTCTCTTTGTCTCTCTCTGTCTCTGTCTCTCTCTCTTTCTGTGTGTGTATGTGTGTGTGTGTGTGTGTGTGTGTGTGTGTGTGTGTGTGTGTGTGTTCATGTGTTCATGTGTTCCTGTGTTCCTGTGTTCTTGCTCTACTGTGGACTCCAGGTATCCGATTCCCATCTCAGTGTGAGTACAGGCAAAATAACAACCAATGTTCTCAGTGATTTATGTCTCTGGAGGTTTCTAGTTCTTGATGCCCGAGACCAAGGCAGATGGAAACTTGAGATACTCAAACAATCCTTCATCCATATCTCAAGGTCAGTCTATGCACAAGAAACTGTTGTGTGGGACAGTCCAGCACACATTAATTCCAGGGCCCAAGAAATGCTCTGCCACAATTAAATGTCATGAGATTGCTTGGTGTGCTGGTTAAATTTGTCATCAACATCATTTTCAGATTGGAGAAGGCTGTGCTTCTCTCTAACTTCAACTTCCCAAAGGCTGAGAAGAAGATATGCACTCAGGTTTGCCTGTTGGCAGGAAAACATGGAGGTAGCAGCTTCTCCATGGTTTCCCCTTCTATATGATGAGAC